CGCTGTCCTCCAAATGGAAAAACGTTGCAAAAAAAAATTGCAAACAACACATTTAATGAAGAACACACGGTAATATCATTACCTCTTTGAGTGTATAGCTACTTGTCAGAACTGTAGGGTGTGGTATCCATTGTTCAAATTTCTAGTAGTCTCGTCTAGTTGCACGTGCCTTTTTTTTCTCATATATCTCCATATCTTGTTCTCTTGCACTGGCTACTTATAAAATATAGAATAATTTTTAAAATTTGTACGTTTATGTACAAGTCTCAATCTAAATTATTTCCTAAGTACTCATCAGATATATTAATTGAATCTAAACGCCCCGGTTTACGATCGTCTTTTTGTTCTAACTTCTTAACTAGTGTTAAACACTCTTTTGCTAAATCTGCTTTTCCTTTTTCTGGCTCTTTTCTCTGGAACTCTCTACTTACTTTTCTGTCTACTTTTCCATTACTTACGATGTTCAGAGCGGATCTCAAGATCCACCTGTTTACAAAATTCATTGAGAAGCGTTGTTGAACATTGCGGAAATAGCGCATTATAAGCCAATTGATTGATTGAATAGATTTTTCAGGCGCTTTTGAGAAATTTATAAAAATGCATGTTCTGAGTTAAAAATTTTGTTCAAAAAAATATTATTGTCTTTTACTGAAAAGTGATTCAACGTCTAGTGATGCAATTTTTGTGCTAGCGGACAGTTTATATGACGACAGAATGACAAAATTGACTGCTAGATTGTAGGTTATATGCTTTGGCCCATAGGCTTATAATTTTATTGAAGTGCTTGTCAATTGGATAAGTAAATGTTGGAATTTGACTTGCAATGGGTCGAAAAGGGTTGTTATTTTAGTGAGTCTTTATATTTCCGTACAGATATCCTGATTTGTATTCAAATTTCAATTCTGAAATTTTATACGTTGTAGATTTATTGTTAATTATTGCTTTGATTATAATAATTATCTGAGGCTTATAATTTTATTGAAGAACATTTAATAATAATTATTGTTTTATTTAAAGTTGTCTTTAAGTCACCAGAAGGATTACTGTTCATTTTTAAAAGTCTGTTGCATCGGAAAGGATTTCATTGATCTTACTGTTTAGTCATTTTTATTTTGAATGACATACATGGAGAACTTAGCGGATTTTCGAACTACAATTAATTAATTCAAATTAATTAAATAAAATAAATAATTTAATTAATTAATTCAAATTAATTAATAAATTAAATTAATGAAATTAATTAATTTAAATAAATTAAAAATTATTTATATTTTTAACAATTTTTTTTATTTTACACGCACGGACACACATTTGCACATACGCATACACACACGCACACACAAAGCTTCATTCATAAAAATCAATCTTGAAAGGCCAGGTATGTGAAAAAAATTTTAATGTTGAAAGAAAATTTAATGACTACTAACGTAGTTGTAAAAAACCAAAATTGAAAATGACTTAAAACGAGGTATCTATATATATATATATATATATATATATATATATATATATATATATATATATATATATATATATATATATATATAAATATATGCAAATTTCATTGAAATTGTTTGCCCATTTTGCATTAATTAACTTCTTTATAAGACATTCAACGAGGCGGTATTGTTTGAGTTCATATTTATCTAAAACTGGAATAAAGCTAACAGCGCTGTTTCGGCGTAATGCCATCTTCAGAGCCTAAATATTGTTTAAACATATAATTTAATTAAAATAAATGTCTAATGTAAAATGTGAAAATATAGAAAATAAAATATGTATTAAATTGTGAAATAAATTAACCTTGTTGTAAATATCATAAAATAACTAAAGTTTATGTAGATTATATAAATAAAATAATGTAATTTAAATAAATGTTTAGTAAAATAATTAAAATATAGAAATTTTATAAAAGTTTTAACATGGTTGAAAAACGTTAATAAAAACTAATTACGAATGACATGTGCGCCAGATATATAATATTGCTGTGTATGCGTTGTGAACACAACTATTGCGGTTGAATATGTGTGATACGAGTTTCCACATCAGACCTACGGATACATAGTTAAATATAAATACATATATGTACATGCAAGATACATATCGATGTATAGATCAAATATTAAGTATCACATAATACATCCACCGACGCAATGACGGTTGTCGGATAACGCTGGGTCACAAACTGCGTGTTAATGGGTTGAAACGTATTCAACGTAGAATGATATTCATATCGTTGTGGTACACGCAGATCCTGTGGATTAACCCCAACGGCAACAGTAGGTGTGAGATCGTGATATTGGGAAAACAATTGCAAAGTGTGATCAAAGCTGTTATATTGTTTATTGAGTGAGGGTTTATGCTTGTTGATATGAAGGGCTTCTTTAATTTTGAGGCGAACTGGATCGGGTTCATATTCAAGGATCGTTGTGTTGGGATCCAATATGTTCCTCGTAAGCGGTTGATGATGTACCTGTTCCATATGGTCCTTAATGGCACCATTCTGTGTATGCATGGTGAGTCTTCTAGAAAGAGTAGTTCTCGTATGGCCGATATAACTCTCCCCAACACAGTGTGGCACGGGACAAGAAAATCGGTATACGAGATTGGTTCTCTCTAGTTTGTTGGGGGGACGTGTGTTGTTATTTTTAACGATAAAGCTGGATGTTCGGTTGGTGTTGTAATAAATTATGAACTTCAGTCGGTAGCTTTCGTTGGGAACGGAGACATTGGATTTGTTTGAGCATTGATTCATCAACTTTGTAGTTGTCATGCATTTGATTGAGATAATATAGAGGTATAATTGTTTTTGTCGAGGTTGGAGTTATATGATTATTTGTTTTGTTGATATAATGTTTTATGGTA